TGTGACTTCTATTTGCATCATTCCAACTTTCGTCTGTGGTTCTTGCAATTCCCAAAAGCTAGGCATTCATGACGTTACTAACTGCCAATGTAACGGCCTTTCCAGTCTGGCGTTGTAAATCCTATATTTTAGTAATAGGTATAAAGTTTAAAACCATTGTGGATCTACTGCACTGTGTATATTGCTGCTATACTATTTTTTTCAAGATTAATTGATACGGGAATTGGGGAGAGAGAGAATTGTTATGCAGGACTTAGATATCACAATGATAAGACATTTGAAACTGTCCAAACCCCAGTAAAAATACCACTGCTTTTAAGACCTTATTAAATTGGAATTTAATCAATTTCCTCTCGCCCTATGTTAGGAAGTGGATATATGTCAAGAATGTACAATGATATCCTTAGACTAATTAAAATTAAGATAAATAGATTGGAACCCAGTCCACGAATAGGAGGAAAGTGAACGCATTTGATTACCTTCAAACTATAGACTCATTATGGCTTAAGTTGATTGACCCTCTTGTTCTTTGGTTGTTTGGATGGTTGGTTGGTTAGTACATGCCAAATTACTGCCTGTTTCTAGCAACTGAAACGCAGTTGTTTGTAGACGACAAGTTAACGTTCACTTCTCGCTTACTAATATCGCAGACTAGGTAGTTGTTGGTAGATGACAATTAACGCTTCCAGCTAATTGCTATTACAGACAATAGTCAGTGGTAGATAACAATCACAGTTTAGGTAGTTGCTGCTAGATGACAGGTTGATATCTTAATAAATTTATATCTTAGATGTATCAAGGAGTGGGCTATCTAAACATTAGGATTTAATGTTAACATACCTTTTGTCGCAACCTCTGATAGACTGTATATTCACTAGCGTACAACCCAATTAAATCGCTTCATTTACAAACTTTTGGGATACAGTTATAATGGCTATTGCAGTCAAGGTATAAGTACGAAGTTCGCAATAGTTTGACATTTTGAAAGTGGGTTGTTGGTAGGTGACAAGGTAGTTGTTGGTAATCGTGGTACTTGGGCAGTAGGATGTGGGAAATATTGGGACAATAGCCAAATAAATGAAGCCATAAAAGCATTAACTGAAATGAGTTACAACCACGCTTCAAAAAAGCGAGATCAGAGACCAAGGTCTTGATAATTGTTTATAGAGCAAATGGAATATTTCTGAACACGAGGAGTTTCAGACAATATGACAATGATAGACAACGTTATTATTGGGCCTGTCTTTGGTCTAGATTTGATAATTACGTCTTGAGACGAAGAAATGAAAGATGGAATTGTCTGGAATATGACAAACGACGTCTTAAATCATTTAATATTATTAACCAAAGATTGAAAATAAACATTTACAGCTATGGATTGTCAATGTGGTTATTTTTTTTATTAGAATACTGTTTGTCCACAGTCTGTATTAAAGGGGATGTAAAGATTTTTTCTCATGACAATTTTCTATACAAGCCGTCTGTAATTCTTGTAATTCCACTATATCTAAGTGTTCTATGAAGCTGTTATCGAAAGAGTTGCAGACAATATCAAAGGGCCTTTGAGATAGGGCCTGCATGAAGATCTTAGTTTGAGTGGAATTGCAGGAATCACAGACAGCTTTCAGTTTCCCAGATTAAATCATTTTCATTTTATTTTCATATCCTATCTAAAATAGACGTTAGCCAGATTGACGTTTGATGACTAGCTTGGAGGATCGAGGTTCCATCGTGGTATAGTTTTTTTGATCCGGTTTCCCATTGCCATTGTTGGTTAATAATGTTTTCTTTAGGACTGTAATGTAACACAGTCGGTTAGAACTTTGGAACGACGTCATTTGGTTACATCGATGATATAGGGTTGTCTGGTGACATTGAATAAGTCATATTCACTCATAATTCCATCATAAATGGGCACTTATAAGCAGGGAAAGATCAAGGCCAAGAGGTTTGGTCAAGGACCAACTGGTAGAAAGGATATTAGTGATATTATTATCCTTGTAAAATGAATAGTTTTCTTTCTTCTTTCAATGTTTGTTGCAGTTGGTGTTAATCAAAGGGAGATAAATAGAAGAACATCTTTAAATTACCAGACTACAAATACATTTATAGTCAATCTCACAGGGCCCCACTAATTTAAATCACGAAATTCAACCTTTTATAACTTTTTCTTTGTTTCCAATGAAAGTCTGGCCTTTACTTATTGCCTTGTCAAAAATTCAAAATACAGGACTCTATCCACGAATTCAAATAATAACTTATTCATGTTAAATCACAAAATTCAACCTTCTATAACTTTATTCAAAAATTGAGTTGAACCCTTTCCTTTATGAAAGCCTGAACGATACTTAGTATCTTGACAAAACTTTGAAGGGCCAGGTTTGTCATTTTTGGGGACTTGAATATACGTAAATAGTCTTCAGGAAACGAACGAAAATCTCATGATTCCGTCAAAATAACTCAAACAAGGATTCTGCTTTCTATTTCTATAAATGTCTTTTCTCTATATGGCCCATGTCTCAAGAAAAGACGAGTCGTCTTTTTAAGTTTCAAACGCAAATAATTCTGGATAGACATGGATTAAAAGTCTTAAATTTCAACCTGTGATCACTATTACTGATTAGCTCAGCTAAAAAAATCCCGTTTCTGAGACTAAGGTACGACTAAGGTCAAACGGGTGGCGAAGCTGTCCCTTTAAGAATGATGACCAGAAGTTCTTTGTGGTTTGTGTCTGTAAATAACAATATTAGCTCCCTTCATACGAACCCTAGATATCTTAAAATACATAATCTTATTCCATGGCCCTACAGTATTGATATATAGCTTTCTTAGCTTAACAAGCTTACCTTTAGGATCAGATGTATATATGGTCGAAAATTGTTATCTCGGTCGGCGTGTGAAAGTTTGGTGACCTTAAATAAGCCACCTTTTTTTAATAGGCTATTCCAGTTGACCCCGCAAATATGGATAATCTGGGAAAGATAAATGACCTAAAGATTAGATGATAAATGACCTATTGGTACGGATCCTAAGAACGTGATTCTTGTTGTTCCTTTCTATTTTCTTTGTCTAGTGTACCTTGATTTTGAATTATAAGTGTTTGAACTATTTTAATATCAACAGTAGTATAATTAGATGAATAAATTATAATATGTTATAATAAAAGTATGATAACAAACAATAATACAAACATAACGACCTAAATGCAACACATCTAAAGGCGTATTTTCTATACAAGAGTCTGGCAATCTGACCACAGAACACTGACATTGTACCTAGGGGCGGACTGTTGAAATTGAGAGGAGAGTTAAACATCATGAAGTGTGCAATGAGCAATGATTCAGTAGTACATCTAAGATGTGCACAAAATATGTATGTGGGAGAACGATTAGGGAGAGGGACAAAGAGGGGGGGGGGGGGGGAGGCGTTGTTGAAAACCAATGATCGATTATGATAAATGACAGTTTTTTCACAATGATCTCACGTTTAGTTATGAGTTTCATCTAAAGCGTGAGATTTCAGTTTTGTCAGCAGAAATATTTAATATCTTTATTAAATGTCTGTATCATCGATTTCTTGATAAGCCAAACTGTATCATCGATTTCTTGATAAACCATACTTTATCATCGATTTCGTTAAATCAAACTGTATCATCGATTTCGTTAAACCAATCTGTATCATCGATTTCGTTAAATCAAACTGTATCATCGATTTCGTTAAACCAAACTGTATCATCGATTTCGTTAAACCAAACTGTATCACCGATTTCTTGATGAACCAAACTGTATCGTTGATTTCGTTTAACCAAACTGTATCATCGATTTCGTTAAACCAAACTGTATTATCGATTTCGTTTGACCAAACTGAATCGTCGATTTCGTTAAATCACACTGTAACTTTGATTTTGTTAAATAAAACTATATCGTTGATTTCGTTAAACCGCAATCAGATGTTGTTTTTTCCAATGAGCCAAAGAACAATGTTAATCTTTTATACTTTTTTTATGTCAAAACTTATTATCCAAATAGAAATATCCATTAGAGAAAAAATATCATTTTCAAAATTGAATGTTCTTCTGTACCACTGGTTTAATTAATTTTAATATTATCCTTTTAGAAATATTAAAAGAGAACTTGAATCATGTTGTTACTTATAGTTTCATGCTATACGATCTTCAGACAACTGGCCTATTTTCAGCCTGTTCCTTTAATACATTTTAGTTTTCCAGTGTCTACATGTGTATTCACAGTGCTCTAAAACTCTTAATCTTTCGTTCCATTGAAACAAAAAGCATTTTCAAAATTTAACCCTTTCTTCGACCTAATATAGTAAGTGTTAAGGTACAAAAGCACTCCGCTCCATTTCAAATTTCAAAGTTTTTATCCTTTATGTCATTTAATCATAAAGCGTTATCAAAATTGTAGCTCTGAATTAGTTTGGCTCACAACACTATTAAAAATTAACGTCCTCCTTTCCCGATAGATGCCACATCTCTATCAAAATTTTCGTATCTCAGTGGGTCACAGCTCTATCAAAATTAACGTCCTCTTTTTTTCTAGTTGATGTCACAGCTTTATGAAAATTTTCGTATCCCAGTAGGCCGCAGCTCTATCAAAATTGAACGTTGTGTCCCATATGGTCAAATAGCACTATCAAAACATGTAATCCTTATCAAAACCAACACTATCACAAATTTACAAATGACCATTATGTACGGAATTGGTAACATTATCACAGTCTTCCACTGATGCCGGAAGTAACATCATGGGTAAGCTCTCGTCAACATTACCAGTTTTGACGAGACTTCCGTTTTTAGCAGGTGGTCTACTGTCCATGTTATCAATGTTCAATGCCGTACCTTCACAAACGTTGCCCTTCTGTTTTCCTTCCCTTTCTTCGTCGTGGTTCGATACAGATGACATCGAACCCCGTACTTTTGTCAGATACGTAGCAAATGTGTGAAAGTGAGTTCGTCCCATATCAAAATTACTCAGCCTTGTTAGTTTAAATCTATGCCAGTTTTTCTTAACTTCATTTTGAACCTGAAAAAATTATAATTACAATAAGATATAGGCCCAATCAGATATTTTTTTAAGTTGTTTGGGAAAGTTAATTGTTCAAATTAATGAAAACTATAGACCAAAATCTCGATAACTGTGTTCTTTATCGTATCTGAAAGTTTTAACAAGAAGTAACACCAAAACTATTTAAAGTCACTTTGTTTTTTGTGTGACGAAACTTATGGACAGATTTAAGCAAAATAAACGCCAAAATTTAGAGAAATAGCTCATCGACTTATTCTGATGGTTTCAGCCGTTATAAATTCAAACACCAAAAAGTTAAAAGATCAAGGCAAAAGATAATTTAATTTTTTTACCTCACTGTTAAGGAAACAAAACAACAGAGCCACGAAAAATCCCTGAAATAAAACAGTAAAATTGCTGATAAATTGAAATACGATTTTTTTAAGAATTTAAGATCTGTATTCTACAAAGGCAAATTTTCATTTTTGTTTTTCTACGTGAGTGACATAGGTCGGTGGGGCTGACCTAACTCACGCATTTTGACTATTACTTACTTGAACTGAGTTGAAGAACATTTCAAAGTAAAGTTTAGCTAATTCTAGTCTTTCATCTAAACCGCCTGGTAAACCGAGAAACACAATGTAATGGACTCCAAATAACGGGATCAAAACTAACGTTGATTTAGCCAATTTTCTGAAAAAAGAATAGACTTGACTTGATATTCAACCATGCCTGAAAATTTCTCTGTAAATTTTTGTAAAGGAGACTTTACAAATGCTCTTGTAGACAGGTTTTTTCTCTGTAAATAGCGTTTTCTTCCAATACCAATCACACTTCTAATGTGAATACTGTTCCTACGAAATACATTGTCAACTGAATTCAAACAGAAAATTTCTCTAATCCCTCTGCACATATCATGAGTTTTGTATTTGATACATGTGATACAAAATACAAGAGTTCCTCACGCAAACAAACGATGCAAAACACAGAACACAAGAACATATTTATAGAAAGATCCTTGATTGATTATCAGTGGATTTATAAAAAGGATTGTAAAGAGATTTTCTAAACATTTTATAGGAATTAAATTTCGGGGAAGGGAGGGTTTGATACTCCCAAATGTACAGGCCTAGGGTGGAACAGACATTTTATTTAGAAATTATGATTAAGGGTCTAGATGTTGGGTTTTCTTCTGTTCTGATTCTGATATGAAATTAGAAAAAGTAAAAAAAAAAATTTTCAGTCAGATTTAGGTGGTTCATATTATCAGTGACCAAATATACACAAAAAGTTTATAAAAACCTCTTTGCAAACCCTTTTATAGTTGATTAGATTAAACACAACAAGTACAAGACAAAATATAGACTTTATTTAAAGACACACAGATAAAACAATACACATAATAGTCTAGCAAAGATATTAAATACATAAACACACAATGTGCAATTTTGTAAGAGGATATTTCAGTAAGTGTTAAGGCTTGCACAGTTTCAGTTAACTTTCTATTCGAAATCTAATTAAAAACTGCAAAGCAAAAGTGTGTATCGGGGACAATGATAACATCGACTTACACATTTTTTTCAGCCCGACGTCTGGTTCGTGCAATTTGACTAAAGCTAATAGTGTCCTTTGAGATACTGACTTCCTAAAATGATTAGGCATTGCAAAAACATACCTGACCAGACTGGAAATTGAAAGTGTGGAAATCAATGCTATCAATGTCCCCAATACACATAAGAAGTTTAGAAAATCTCTCCACAAAATGATAGATAGACCTAAAGCACAAAGATAACACATGTACATGCTGTTAGTAGAAAATTAGCCATGCAATACTTATCCATTGTTAGTATAATATAACAAAATAAATACCTACAAATTTTAGGCAAAAATATTAGTAAATATATCAAAAATAAATAAGCAGATGTGCGCTATGTTGCATTATAAATTTATCACAATTTCTATAGTCTAAAAAGCTTTTGCGTTTAACATATGCCTACATATCCAATTGGGGTCGATTTGTGTATAAACCAATGAAGTGCATCAGGATGGGTCCTCTTCACAATTTCAAGTTATTACATAGTCAATCTTATACTTTGACAATCAAATCGTAACAGTAGCAACCTTCTGTGTTACAAGAAGAGTGCCTTGTGATGCCAAGGTATGATTCAGATCGTAATGCCTTATCATACTGAATATGATAATGATAATGGATTAATGGGTGGTGTTATTAGACGGAATATGGGTTTATCTAGATTATTACACAAGATGGGATATAAGTGGGATCAGGTTTAGCTAGATTACGCTATAAGACGGAATATAGGTTTATCTAGATTATTATTATAAGATGGGATATAAGTGGGATGCAGGTTTAGCTAGATTACGCTATAAGATGAGATATAGGTTTATCTAGATTATTATACAAGATGGGATATAAGTGAGATGCAGGTTTAGATAGATTAAGCTATAAGATGGGATATAGGTTTATCTAGATTATTATACAAGAAGGGATATAAGTGGGATGCAGGTTTAGCTAGATTACGCTATAAGATGGGATATAGGTTTATATAGATTATTATACAAGAAGGGATATAAGTGGGATGCAGGTTTAGCTAGATTACGCTATAAGATGAGATATAGGTTTATCTAGATTATTATACAAGATGGGATATAAGTGGGATGCAGGTTTAGCTAGATTACGCTATAAAATGGGCTATAGGTTTATTTAGGTAATGGTATAGGATTATCTAGGTAATGTTACAAGTATAGATTTAACTATATGGTGATATAAGATTATCATACAAGGTGAGATATGGGTTTATCTAGATTGTTATAAAAGATGGAAAATAGGTGGGATATGTGTTTATCTGGGTTATGATATAAGATGTGATCCAGGTTTATGTATAGATTTATCTAGGTAATAATATAAGTATAGGTTTATCTAGGTAATGATGTAAGTATAGATTTATCTAGTTAATGATATAAGATGAGATACATACCGGTTTATCCAAGTTCTTATACAAGGTAGGATACATGTTTATCTACGTTATTATAAAAGGAAGGATATAGGTTTATCTAGGTTATTATATAAGGAAGGATATAGGTTTATCTAATTTATTATATAAGGAAGGATATAGGTTTATCTAGGTTATTATATAAGGAAGGATATAGGTTTATCTAGGTTATTTTATAAGGAAGGATATAGGTTTATCTAGGTTATTATATAAGGAAGGATATAGGTTTTTCTAAGTTATTATATAATGGAGGATATAGGTTTATCTAGGTTATTATTTAAGGTGGGATAGTTTAACTAGGTAATAATATAAGATGGGCTACAGGTTTATCTAGATTAATCTAAAAGTTAGTTTCACGAAAAACATTAATCTAATACTCACTGATACCTGAATTTTTTAGCTTCGGGCGAATTGACGGCGTTCAATTTAGTGAATAAAACACGAATTAGATTCAAAAATATTATAAAATTTATCTGGAAAAAAAAACAAATTCAAATAAATATTAGCTAGATTTGTCTCTTAATAGTCATTTAGTTGACAAAGCTGTAAATGGGTAAGGATGATCCAGAAAAAGACAAAGGATCAGCTGGTAGACGGGATCCTCGTGAATCTATTTGATATCGTTGTTTACAAATTGTTGTTTCTTTCTTTTTTGGTTGTTTTCAAAGAAGGTCTGTTTCAGACTGCATCAATTTTTTAAATGAATCCTTCATTTAACATGGTACATTGTCGAAATTACCACTAATAGTAAATATACATTTGATGATAGATCAAAATGTGTAAGTAAATGTAGACTACTTACCACAATAGAGGCGACGATGGGAGCTTTGGTTATCCAGAAATATTCTGGTGTAGGATGAGTGTTCCAACATCTACAAGAAAGGGTTTTTTGGATAACTTTTGACGTTGGTGTTCAATATTTTAATTAAAATCTTAATTCCAAACTTAGCTGTCCTGATGAGGATTATTTAACCAAAACATGATTCAGCAGCATAACTGTACTCAATTAGGTAACACTAACCTTTTTTTTATATTTAAAGTTATCACTATTTTCAAAACTAGCTGTCCTAATGAGTATTGTGTATCTGAAAACATGTTGGTACCCATGATTTGTGCTTTAGGAAGTTCAGTTCTAGTCTAATGTTAAAACTACAATAATACTTACAATTCATCTTCTACAGTCGCTCTAACAATCACCCAAGGTAATACAAAACATACCGGCGCCACTGAAACAAGGTATAAATTTATCATCTTTGATCAAGAAGTTCCAAAACTCCCCAATGATAATAGGTGGATAATGATATGAGATGACTGGGCAGCATAGGTCAAAGGGTTTCTTTGGTCGTCATCCAAGCTATACTAAAATTTCTCATCTGGTTTAGCTTATTACATTTTCAATGAAATCGAAGAGACAAATAGTAAATTTTGAAATATTCGTTTACAAATTATTTTGTTGTGTTGAAAGGCTCCTAACGACTTTTGCCCTCAGACAGCGATCGTTGGTCCGACTCCAATGAAAAGTATTCAATTACTAGTAATAGGATAAAATGTTATTAATGAGTAAATACTTACACCAGCCAAACAGTATATACCATATGATACCAGATTTGTCTGAGAAGACAGACACCGTGATGAGGATGTGTAAATATAAGGCTTCTACAAATATCCACATATAATTCGCTCCTAATATATAGTTAAACAGAGTGAAGAACAGCTTACATTGCCAGTGCTGAAATAAATACACTCTATAATTGAATTGGAATCGTTGGATAACGGAACCTAATGTAGAGCAAAGCAACAGATTCTTCGGGCTTCACTATCTCATAATTCATCAATGTTTTAGGGAAACGAGTCCTATATAACACTCTTTAATTGGTTAATAATAACAACAGTAGAACGGGACTGCAATAGAAATCTTTATATAAATAGATAAGGCAACCGTATGGGTTTACTTGGTCATGAACGAGATTTCAATTAGCCACAGGGGCTCAAATCCTTGTCTTGGTCAGATTCAACAACTGTATCACTGACATGGGTATAAAAAACCAAAGGCCATTGCGGTTTCCACTAATTTATATTAGTCGTTTGATACATCAAATTGAACGAACAAACCAGACAATAACTTTCTTCAAGATCCAATTTATCGATCTTTTTTCGACACAATTTTTAGTTGTCTAATATTCTTTTACCCGACACGTTACGATTGTCTCGAAATATAAATATTAGAAAAATTTTGTAAATATATTGTATTTGTTTGAAAGAGCAACATCTATAAATGAAAAAATTAAAAAAGTAACGAAACGAAATTTTAGTAAGACAGTTCTATATTAAGTCAGTGGATTTCTAATATACTTGTAGCTTGTTTTATTTATGTTGGGTTTAAAGAAAATGTTAAAACTTATTGGTTGCAGGTCTTATTCAGGTAAAGTAAGATTATTGTCTTTCCAATTCAATTTAAAAGTTTCAATAAAGTCTGTTTATTGTAAGATCTAAGATTAGTGTTGAATTTGGAAAGATATTAACAATTCGTTATTTTGGAATTGAAAACGTTGACTTGCTGAAATTATACGAATGGAAGAAAAGAATAGTTAAAGAAGGTGTAACTATAACAAAATGTGACAAACGGTGGTTAGTGGTTTTAATGTTTGTCGACCTTGTGAACTCTACAAATGATTAGGAACAACCATTGAAATACCAATGAAGAGTTTTATCCCATATCCTGTAAAAATTTGTATTTTTTCTTTAATATTAAGATGAATGGATTTTAAAAAGGTTTTCAATACTTTTTTGATGTGTACCGATGACTCTGATTTCATCGATATGCATCATTCTAATTTTCAGTCACTGCAATGTTTCCTAAAACGCCACTGTTCGGACTTTATAATTTAAGAAACCACTGACAAATGACGGCTAATTTGAATCGGAAACCTCTTTAAAATCACTCAGACTACCTACCGTTCCTTCTGCAATATAGCTGACACTGCCGTTAGGTAATATCTCTACATCAAAGGAGAATCCCACACTTTGTACCAGCAGGTTTTCTTTCATAAATGATATGGACGCACGAAGGATAAACGACGCAAATAAGTTGATATGGATGGTATTTCTGGAACAATGTAGTCTTCTGAAATAGATACGATAATTAAATTACTTTATGTGGATTTCCTCAACACCTACGGCGACATGAGAGGGACTGTCTTTGCTGTAATCTTTTCTCAGTTGTTTTTTATTTTGCTCTTTAGAGCTCCTTGTGAGCCACGAAATTTTCAACAAGGTTTTTTCCTGTCAGTGATGCAGGTAAGAGGGGCTGACATGGAAAGAGCGTCTAGTCGATCGGATGGGAGAATAGGCCGAGGCACCGTGTGATACAGACTGTGCACGTTTAAGATCAATCGACAGTTGGAAATAAAAAAAGACCAGGCTTGTACCGCTGTCCAGGCAAAATTTCCCCATTATTACCACACATGGTGCAGAAACGCAGGACATAAAACTCCATTCATGTCATTTTCAAGCTCCTTGTCATGCATATGGCATTTTAAGCATACCATACTTGTGCAGTTGAAACACATCTGAAACATTTTTTTATTGTGTCAGACATTGTCTCGGGGCTTCACAGGCTTTTATTTCCCTTTCTAAAATACATTGTAATAAGAAATTAAAGAGCTCCTTCTCCACTTATATTGCATGAGTCCACACAAGTTTACCGAATTGTTTAGGACAACGATCATATACCTAGCTAGATACTTACTTAAAACGTACCATTATACCAACTGCTAGTAATAAAGATGCTAATGATATACCATAGCCAATGTTATACATTAACCGCAATCTTCCCATGTGAGCCTAAAATGATTCAGAGAGGGTTTCAATAACATAAACAACATTCGACAATTCTCGCCAGCCTCTGTAAAATCTATGTAGCAGAGCTTTCACGCTAGATCAGTTTGTTCATGATGTGAACAGCATTTGTTGTTCCTCGGCAGTATCGTAAAATTATATTTTGCAGAGCGCTAGCGAAACTTTCATGATAGATTATTTGTCCATAAAATATAAAGCATTCGGCAATCCTCAGCAGTTTCCGTAGAGCAAAATCTGGAGACCAATTGTGCATAATATATAAAGCATTCGATAATTCTCGTCTGTCTCCGTAAAATCTATGCTGCAAAGCGTTAGCGGAAAATTCACAGTTAACCGTTTGCATGAACTTTTAATTAAATGGGAAATTGATCGCCATATCTAGAAGTGTCAGATTTTAGAATAGACGGTTTCCATGTTACAATTAGACTTTTAATTGATTTTAGCCAGAAGTGATAAAGACAATCACATTTTAAAGATCTTCGTGATTTTCATTCATGTACATTTACTTTTAGTTCCGTTGCCGATGTTCAATGTTCAACACCACAACTACTTTAAAATGATCACCCCGTGTTTCAGTCACCCGTGTTATAACAGATTCAGACTGAACAAGTACTTATATATTATATAATTGCGAGTTTAGTGCGCACAACTTATACCGTCCTTTTAAAATTAAGGTTGATCAAGTTCATAAATAGCATATTTCATTAAATGCTGTTTTCATGAAAATGATTGTCCTTTTAGATTATGATGTTGGGAATCTCTGTCGGATATGATAATAAAAAAGAAATTAAGGGATTAGAAAATAACGGATGTTGTTTTCTTAGAAATATTAATGACGACTTAACCCGGATACTCTGAAGTCAGACATAGCTATAACCTTTCTGTTTGAATTAAGAAAATCCGACAAGTTAGACCTACATAGTTCCTCAGACGTGATATACGGATAAGATGTCAGGGTGCCGTAGCGATATCACATCCATATATAACGTCTGAGGAACTGGTAGGGCCAGTACCATATTTTGTATCACATGCACGAAACTTACATTTTAAGATTTGAAATAAATTCAAGAACATTCTATCCTTCTCGTTTTAATTAACTAAAAGACAAGCCATGCCATGCATTATGCAATGAGGGAAAATTTGCGCGAGGTCCAAGTTCAATTACGCAAATTATCCCTTATTTCCCAGGTGAGGATCATTTATAGAAAACATGCTTCAGTGGTATTGAAAGAGTCAATATTACTTACTATGTACAGGTCTGATATGGGTGTTGGATTAGTCATACATTTGGTAAAATCTGTCCAAGTTATATTATAAACTGAATTAAAATACCAAGAACCATCGTCTTGACAGTATCTACTAGCATTCTCTATAATGTAAAACAAAAAGGCGTAACAAGCAGTGTAGAAGTTTTCTACCTTTATAATTTGTATAAATTTCAACTATTTCAAATTTCAACCATAATGTGACTCTGATATAATACTACTTACCAAATGAATCGAAGTCTTTAATATAATTTGGACAGGGTTGATAAGCCATTATACCAGCAGGTGTTTCAGGCCAACATAAAGCTTCATCCCACACGGCTGGACAATGTGTACCTTCAGGTAGAGAAAAGATTATATAGAAACTTTTTTATCATGACCATGCCCTAGAGTATCCGTCTTTGACTGGTTTTTCCAGATGGTAAAACCGTTTTGTAAACCGTTAAATTCTATGCCTTCCGGATCATTGTTGGAAACGACGGTATAACCAATTGCCCGACTCAACAAATACCAGCTTATACGATGTTTGAGACTGTAGCACGGTCGGTTAGATTCATTTGAACAGAAAATGATGGTAGTGGGTTTTAATCGCGATCGGCATTTAAAGTCTAGTGACCTTGAATAAGTCATATTTCCTCATAATACCAGTCGATGGGAACAGATAATCCATACGTCCCCGAACAAGCTGGTAGACGGAATCCTTGTGAACGAATTTTGACACAGGCTAGAATATTTCAACAAATATTTCAAAATGGTATTGTGTGTGTTATTTCCATGTAAGAACCATACGTAGTTTTTTAAGTATATATAAGTTTGTAAAAATTGATTGTTTTTCTCTTTCTTTATACAATGCATGTTTTGAAATAGTAATCCATCGCTTGATCTGGATTTAGAAAAAACCAAACTTACCATTTCTGGTTGAAGGATGATAAAACATATGAATAGCACATTCAACCGACGCATTGTGCCTTCTTAATTCTTGTTCTGTTGAAGATATATCCACAATGCCCTGAAACAGAAGTAATGGAGATCAATTTGTGTTATATGTGGAGAGCGGATGTGTCTTTGAGATTTGTCTACGATATTTACAGGGATTGTAAATAGATGTAAGAGTCTTCGTGGCTTCCATTTGAACACATCTGAAAATGTTTTCACTATTTGCCCGATGTATGTATATCTTAATTGTAAAATTATTATAAATCTTCTATTTCTATGAACCCGTAGACATTTTAAGTTAATGACATACAATTGAGTTCGATCTTAGTTAATTTCGACAGTCTCAACACCCGACTGTGCCACTAATAAAACCACTAGACATCTCAATATTTATTTATTTTACCACTAAGTGTTTGTATGGAATCCTAGTCAAGATTCGATCTTCAACATTCTATAATCTATTTCTTCTCTTTCCTCTTTAAGATAAAATTACAGACGAGGAAAGTGTTATGAAAGTAACTTTATTTCCATTTAATTCAGCTAAATCTGCTCGAGATTACAGATCTGAGAATAGATTGATCTTTCATTTCACAAGACGAGGATTTAATTTCGGTGTTTTACTCTTTGCAATTAGATCTTTAAATGAAAGCTGTTTGAAATTTGTTCACTTTACATTTAATTCCGCTTGTCAATAAAATTAATTTCGTCCTTGATTGTTGAAGAACATGTTGTTAACGTGACTCTAATACTATGGCCATATTACCTTGTGACCGTAATACTAATTTAGTGTGACCATATTACCTTGTGACCGTAATACTATGACCAATTAATGTTACAACATTACCTTGTGACCGTATTACTATGACCAATTAATGTGACCACATTACCTTGTGACCGTATTACTATGACCAATTAATGTGACCACATTACCTTGTGACCGTATTACTATGACCAATTAATGTGACCACATTACCTTGTGACCGTATTACTATGACCAATTAATGTGACCACATTACCTTGTGACCGTATTACTATGACCAATTAATGTGACCACATTACCTTGTGACCGTATTACTATGACCAATTAATGTGACCACATTACCTTGTGACCGTATTACTATGACCAATTAATGTGACCACATTACCTTGTGACCGTATTACTATGACCAATTAATGTGACCACATTACCTTGTGACCGTATTACTATGACCAATTTACTGTGACCACATTACCTTGTGACCGTATTACTATGACCAATTAATGTGACCGCATTACCTTGTGACCGTATTACTATGACCAATTTACTGTGACCATATTACCTTGTGACCGTAATACTATGACCAATTTACTGTGACCATATTATCTTGAGCCCGTATTAATATGATCAATTTACTGTGACTGTATTATCTTGTGACCGTATTACTATGACCAATTTACTGTGACCATATTACCTTGTGACCGTATTACTATGACCAATTAATGTGACCACATTACCTTGTGACCGTATTACTATGGCCAATTTACTGTGACCACATTACCTTGTGACCGTATTACTATGACCAATTAATGTGACCACATTACCTTGTGACCCGTATTACTAGGACCAATTTACTGTGACCATATTAGCTTGTGACCGTATTACTATGACCAATTTACTGTGGCCATATTACCTTGTGACCGTATTACATTGAACAATTTTCTGTGACTATATTACCTTGTCACCGTATTATTATGACCAATTTACTGTGGCCATATTACCTTGTGACTGTATTACTATGACCAATTTACTGTGACTATATTACCCTGTGACCGTATTACTATGACCAATTTACTGTGGCCATATTACCTTGTGACCGTATTACTATGACCAATTTACTGTGACTATATTACCCTGCGACCGTATTACTATGACCAATTTACTGTGACCATATTACCTCGTGACCGTATTACTATAACAAATTTCATGTGATCATATTACCTTGTGACCGTATTACTATGACCAATTTACTGTGACTATATTACCCTGTGACCGTAATACTATGACCAATTTACTGTGACTATATATATATCTTATGACTGTATTACTATGACCAATTTACTGTGACCATATTACCTTGTGAAAAATTTACTGTGACTATATTACCCTGTGACCGTATTACTATGACCAATTTACTGTGACTATATATATCTTGTGACTGTATTACTTTGACCAATTTACTGTGACCATATTACCTTTTGACTGTATTACTATGACCAATTTACAGTGACCATTACCTTGTGATCCTATTACTATGACCAATTTTCTATTACCAATTTTCTATATGTGACAAAATATTTTTTGACCCTTTTACTTTGACAAAATTACCTCGGACATATTACATATTACTTTGTGACCGTATGACTATGACCAATTTATCTTGTGAATATATTACTGTGACTGATTCACCTTTTACCATGACAAAAATTACTGTTACTAATTTACCATTTTGTCATCATTTGTCAAAGTTTTAAATAGGTCCCAATTCATATTGTATCATGACATTTATAATGATGAAACGAGGCATGCATTGAAAAGATTTACCAGTTAATTAAGTTTTAATTGATAAAGATGACAGGGCTATCAAGGAAATAAAGAATTAAGAAATAATCATTCGATATCTGACAAATGGACAGATTAATCAACCCACATATTTTAAATAGATTCCCCGACATAGTGACCCACCGTTTAATTGTATCGAAATTTGTTTCAAAGACATAATTACCAGGGGTGACTGGCATAGATTC